CCCAAAACCCCAAAACCCCAAAACCCCAAAACCCCAAAACCCCAAAACCCCATAATGGCCCTCTAAGGTGAACTCTATTTAAAATATATAACAAATGGAAGGACATGATAAGATGACTATTGATTATTTGGAGAAGAAGCCTGGAAGCAGACCTAGTTCTCCCAACCAGTAAGTCCTTTGACATCAATTAGACCGGCGGAAATTATTTCTATGCTGATCAGAGCTTATTAAGGACCTATTTTATCTGGTTATTGTAGAACAGTTAAGACGAACCATGATGGAGGAAGAGACATCATTGCAACTACTCGGTCAGATACTAGGAATAGAGACTCTGCTAGAGGAGTAAGTGAAATATACCTTAAAACATAATAGAACTTTCTAAATTTGGATCTTAAAATTGCATATAGATGAACAGGGCAGGGGTCGATACAATCCTCCCTAAAATACAAAGTAGATCTGAATTAATACAATCCAGGCATTCGAACTCTGAAATGCAGTCCGAAGACTCAAAGAGTGGGCCAAGTAACATAGTTCTTGATCAAGAATCCCAACAAAGAGTGGAGCAAGAGGAAGAGAAGGAAGAAGTGGATCTGATGAAGTCAAAGTGCATTGATTGATCTCTAAAATAATGTGGTCCTTTCATTAGCTTTCCTTTGATTAGTAATCACAGCTATAACACTATTTTTCATATATAATTCAGAGATCAAGGGCTTCGCTGATGATTATATCCGGTTTATGAAAGATGAGCCCTTCCTTGCGATATTGTTATACATGCTTGCATACATTGGTACTCGGCCAATCTGCATCCCTGCAACCTTGTTTATTTTATTCGGAGCATATATTTTTGGTGAAGCATTCGGATTTTTGGCTGGGTTTTTCATCTTCGTAGTCGTTGATTACATTTCTCTTCTGGTCGGCACTTCCTTAGCTTTCCTTAACGGAAGGTATCTCTTCAAGAACTGTGTCCAATCGATGATTAAAAAGAGAAAGAAACTGATGGCACTTAGCGAAGCATTATCCCATAACGCAAAGAAGCTGGTGTTCTTACTGAGGATATGTTCACTAACCCCGTATTATATCTTCAATTATGTGTGAAGTGTCACGAACATGTCGTGGACTGATTACTTCATCGGAAATTTAGGAATAATACTATGTGACGCACCATACATCTATGTATGAGCGAGTATCTCTGATATAAGTGAGGTTGAAGACTCCTCTTCCAATCTTGGAGTGTGGTACTACGTCATCATTGCCATAAGTATCCTCATCGTAATAGTAGTAATAATCTTGGTCTATTTCCTTGCGAAGAAAGAACTCGCCAGAACTTTAGAATTAATTAAAAATGAGCAAAAAGAAAATGAGGATAATTAACAATCAGAGCTCTCAAAGGGATGGTGATGGAGAACAGATTCCACAAAATCCCTATATTTCTCCTAACTTGCCAAGTGTGGCCCTCAAAACTAACACTAGTCAGCATGGCCAGTCTCTAAAAAGAGACCAATCTTCTAGAAGAGATCAGTCCTCAGTTACCCCTGTTAATGGGAATATGAGATATGACGAAGAGGAGGATTAGCTTACTGCAGAATCTTTAAGGAAAGTTCGTTAAGTTAGACATCTTCAACATTGAGATTTTTATTAGGGGTTTTGGGGTTTTGGGGTTTTGGGGTTTTGGGGTTTTGGGGTTTTGGGG